ATAATGCTGTAATAAGTACAAGTATATCTAACAATGTTTATCTTAACAATTTCTTGAGTTCTTGAATGGTAAGCATGACAGTATAAACGTCACTCTTAAACATAAACAAGACCATAAACTTTTAATTTCTTTGAGTTACAATAATAATGGTCACTTCTAAGGTGAAGTATAGCATAAAAAGACATTTACTGGTTTGTACTTTAATTTTGTAAGTTTTGTAGCAAATATTTTTAAAGAAAACCTGATTAACATTTTTTTTCCATCACGAATATAAAATATCTAGCACTTATGAAGCTGTTCATAAATAATTTGATAATATAGCAAAGAATTATTATGCAAAAATGGTTACCCTATTTATGTAATTGATAGGGTACTTGATAACTGTCTGAATAAGTATAGTTTTAATAAACCTGCTGTATATGAAGTTTGGAAATGTCTTGCTATTATTACCTTAATATATATATATATATATATATGTGGGTAAATATTCTATGGTTATTAAAAAACAAATAAGAAATATAATTCATAAGGTATACCCTCAAGTAGAATTGAGATGTGTTCTTAAGAAACCATATTCCTGCATGAAATTAAAGAAATCAAACGTACTTTACAAATTCAGTTATCCGTGCTGTCAACAAGGCTATATTGGTTGTACTAAAAGAATATTGTTAACCCGTGTGAAAGAGCATGAAAAGTTGAGGTCCCCGACTAAGTTAAGTATATTATAACATGCTTTAGGGGAATGTGTCATAATTGTACATTCAAATTATTGTAAAATTTAGCAAAGGCCAAGGATGAGCAAATGTTTCACATAAAAGAGATGTCGCTCAATCACAGATAGAAACCTCAAATAACCAAATAGGCTAAGCTTATATATTACTCCTCAAATAACCAAATAGGCTAAGCTTATACATTACTCCTCAAATAACCAAATAGGCTAAAGTTATACATTACTCTTTAAATAACCAAATAGGCTTAACTTATACGTTACTCCTCAAATAACCAAATAGGCTAAGCTTATATGTTACTCCTCAAATAACCAAATAGGCTAAACTTATACGTTACTCCTCAAATAACCAAATAGGCTAAGCTTATAAGTTACTCTTAATGTTGTAAAATAGGTTTTCATTGGTTTTTGTTCAAATATAATTAAAATGGTTATTGACAGAGATTGGAAACAAATTATTTTAGAGTACATATCCTTTGTGACATGATTAGAAATACTTCTACTTATTACAGCATTATGGTGTATTCTTATCCAGATAATCATTATTAGAAATACTTCTACTTATTACAGCATTATGGTGTATTCTTATCCAGATAATCATTATTAGATATACTTCTACTTATTACAGTATTATGATGTATTTCTAACAACAGTATCTCCAACAATCTGACTATTCCTACATCTGTTTTTCTAAAGTTGATGAACTTTCCTACAGGAGAATCACATTTTCTTTTTGAATGACAATTTTTATGATTTATGTTGTCACCACGTGACTAGCACTCACTTTCTCCAGTTTTTTTCTGTTGTATTTTAAAAACAATGGTTGGGAGATTGTCCAAAATTATGTAAATCACTTTATTATCACAGATATGTAGATGACATTTTCACCATTTTCAAGAATTCTGATCAAAGTTTAAAGATCAGATCAGTACTTAACTGTATAATTTCTTCCAGAGATATGCTTGTGTACAGCAATTCAACATCAAAGAAGAATAAATATCTCTATCAAATTTTATCTAATATATTTCACTAAAAACTTCAAAACTGTTTTTCATAAAGGTGGAAATCTTCCAAAATTCAACTAAGAAACCAGCAAAAGCATGACTATAAGGATTGTTAGTGAAAGTTTTCCAAAATTTAACCATAAAAAAACACCTAAAGCATGGATAACTGTAATTATGGATATATCATGATCATTAAACTCTACTCGTCCTGTATAAACATCCCAGTTGTTAAATTCTATTCTCACAGTCATTAAACTCTACTGTCACTCCGGACAGAGCACTCAATAAATTCTATTGTCACTATGAAAACGTCACAGTTTTTAAAACCTGCTGCTACTATGGTAACATCACAGCAGTTAAAACCTACTGTCACTAAGGGGGCATCACAGTCATTAAAACCTACTGTCACTATAGAAACATCACACTTATTATACTATACTGTCAATATGGAGATATCACAGTCATTACACTCTACTATCATTATGGACATAGAATCATTAAACTTTATTGTTACTATGGGCACATGACAGTCATTACACTCTACTCTCATAATGCACATAGAGTCATTAAACTTTATTGTTACTATGGGCACATGACAGTCATTACACTCTACTATCATTATGGACATAGAGTCATTAAACTTTATTGTTACTATGGGCACATCACAGTCATTACACTCTACTCTCATTATGGACATAGAGTCATTAAACTTTATTGTTACTATGGGCACATCACAGTCATTACACTCTACTCTCATTATGGACATAGAGTCATTAAACTTTATTGTTACTATGGGCACATCA